ACTTTCCCTCCCACCCCTCATCCTCCCTTCCCTGTGGCAAAGAGTGAACAAATAAACAAAAACACTACTGTTGTTTTTTAATGGGCAAATGTGGCCTGCAATCTTGATCCTATTCTTTTTTATCCTAAGCTTTGTGCTTCTTTTCCACGTCACAGCCTCCTATGCAAATACACAGAAAACAGGGTATATTCAAGCATTTTTTATTCCTCATGTATCTCACATTAAGTGGGAACATTTATATTACCAGCTTGCAAACAAAAATGTGTAATTTTAAAACTTCTTTCCCCTGGGAATCTGTGGAAGGAATTATTACGCATTTACCACTTAGAAGGGTGTTCTCACACTTCATTGATGCCTTCACACCTATGAGGCAGATGCGGACTACAGAACTAAAAACAGGGCCCAAAACTGTGCCTGAAGCATCTGTGTGTGTGGGAGAGGGTTGGAGTTTGGGTGGGGAAGGGGAAAACTGGGTCAATACCTCCTGCAAGCGAAAATGACAAAGCAGAAAAATATGAAGTTTGTATTTCATAGTCATCAAGGGGTATGGCCCAGGGCACAGGCAGTTATGGACTTCTGCTCCATGTTACTCTTTGGCCAATGCATCTGATGGCCAGGATGGGTTGTAGGACTAGAGATTCCCCTCACCCCAGCCCTGGGGACTGGACACAAGGCCTCTGCCCTTGTTTTAATTATTTCCCAGGCTGGGCTTGAACTTGGGATCTTTCTGCCTCACACTCCCAGAGTGCTAGCATTACAGGCATGCTCCACGATGTCACCTTCCATAATGTTCCTTAACCGGAAAATGAGCCAACCTACTGTCAGGATGGTCTGGGGTACAAAATGAAATAAAATGCCTGCACCCCAATTTGACAATATGTAATGATACCTCAGTTGTCAAACAGCTCCAAGCTTGAACCATGCTATTTGAACAGCAAAGTTTGAAACAAATTTGCCTGGTGTTTGTAAGTTTGCACAATATTGGAACCAAACACCTGACTTGAAAAAACCTGTACTGCCTGACAGTGAGCCACGTGCTCCATCATGCCACAGACACAAAGGGGTTGTTACAGTTCAATGAGCCCAAAATAGTCCACATTCTTGCCTACCCTGAGCCAAGTGTACCCACTGTAGAAAGTAGCTATATTTATTGAAAACCATTGGATGGTTGGAACAGGCAAAAGGCCAAAAACAAGGAAAAGGAGGAAGAAGAGGTACACAAATGCTTGGTGATTCAGGTTTCCAGTATTTAAAGTTTTGGACACCTCTGACTCCAGCGCCTCCCACTGTCTCTCATTGGTGTCTGTGACCTACTGACTTGGGCACCGAGACTCCTAAGGTTAAACATGGATAATCATTAGGGTAGTGTTGTGTTCATAGCTCAGTAAGGGGAAGGGAGTGGCTTCCTCAAGTCCCCTGACTTTCTGACTGTACTAAGGTGATGCTTCAGTCTGAGAGCTGCTCACACCAGACAACATATTGTGCTTGTATTAATGCATTAAAATAATCATCATAGTGCTTTATTTTTGGTGTGATTTATTTGGGTTAAATATTGAAACCATAGCTCCAAATAAAGTTATTGACACCAGCAGTAAAGCTAAAAAGAAAATTGAGAACTATGAAAAAGAAAGAAATCACTATAAATTTTGTTAGAGTCCTGGAAAATGGAACTTCTAAGTATAATTTTTGGGCCTCAGAACCAATTGTTTGGATTCCATTTCTTACGGGAAAAATCTGTCCAGTTCTTGAACTTTTTGGTGTTTCCATGAATTTGGAAGGAGTTCAATAACTGAGTTGTCATTGAATGAGGAAAGGTTGCTTGAAAGGTCACTTCACTGGTTTCCTAGGGCTCAGATACTGTGCTGGTGGGGAAGTGTCTTACAAAGACAAATGCTTGCTTTCGGGGCTTGGATCTGGGTGTGGCATGTTAGCATGTCTGCAGTTCATCTAGGGTTTGAAGGGACATATGGGATGGAAAAGGCACAGAAATTTCTCTGCTACAGTGGATGTCAAAAATACACTTCTTGCCTAGTGGGGAAAGGGTGAGTTCACAGTAAGGCTGTAGGCAGATACTTCAGATGGGTATCAGATACTCAAAAGGGCATTGAGAAAGATCCCATTAAAAGGCAGGAGCTCCACAATAGCTGCTACCCATGGGAGGCAAATTAGAGGTTTCTCTAAGTAGGGATTGAGCCATGAGTTCCTACTGTTCTCCTGTACTCAGGTCCTATTCTACAAGACCCACAGAGTCTGGATTATTTAGTGGAACTGCTTAGAGGCATTAGGGTATATGGCAGACCCCAAAGTACAGGCATGGGATGAGCTTAGAACAGATTTACACCAAAAAAGAGAACGTTTTTGAAGTGCTTACAGGCAAATTTCTTTCCTTTGCATCCACATTCCTAATCTGTTCTAAGAAATGGCTCTACATAGAGTCTATTTCTACATGGAGGAAATAATGACTCTACATAGTCTTTCTGGAAATATCCTACTGAGAAATAAGGTAGGTTTTGAAGCTGTAGCCAGTTAGCTAACATGCCACCTTGTACTTGCTTTTCTTCTAGCCATCCTTACTTTCCTTTTCCTTTCATCTTTATTTGCCTGCACTTACACCTAAATGAGTCACTAGCATATAATTCAGGTTGTTTTTTTAGAGAGCCCATGTTGGCATAAATGTAAAAAAATGGTCAACTTCATAAAAGTTTGCAATTAAGGTAGGAATATGGGAAAAACTTCGAGGTGTTCTGCATGGCTTAGTATCCACAATAGATTAGGGGCAGCAGATCTGGGCTCTGGATCCAGCACAAAGAGAGGGCTGATGATGTTTGGAGGGTAAAGAGTGGTTATAGATTTCTTCCACTAGAAGTCATAGTTCCTGTTCTATGGCAGTTGGCAACAAGTAGATAACTAAAAGATCTCTTCATGAACATGTATAGTTATATTCTAGAGAATGCAGAAATATGTTGGATAAGTAATATGTTACTCAATTGGGTAACATTTATTCACAATATCAAGCTTGTATAGCAGTAGATGACGATAGGAAGTAATCAACCCATCGCTGCAAATGGAATTAGAGAATTAACAATTCTTGTGAAAACTTGTCTAGTCTGTGCTTGGTTTTCTAAGAAAGGTATGGGTTTCTTGTGGGTATCATTACTTAATTCTTCCTATAGTCTAGGGGAGCAGACATTAAACTCATCCTTATATTCAGATCAGGAATGGGAAGATGAATGAATTCAAGTACTTTGTCTGCGGTTACATAGATTAGAATTTAAACCACCTTGAGGCTGTTTTGTTCAAAATCCCAGGTGTTTGTCAAGGCAAACAAGGACAAGATGAGGTTCATTACAGATCTTAAACAGTGTCGTTGGCTAGTGACTTTACTTCAGGCAATGAATCAAGACAAAAGGGAAATGATTAAAAGACTGAGGGAAGGGGAACCACTTTAAAGTTGTGCCAGGTAGGGCAATTTGTGTTTGGATCAGAGACCTATAATTTATGTGGAATCACATACATCTTTTTCAGATATGCATAAATTGGAGGAGTGTGTGGAGTGTTGTGTAACTCAATGTATTTATGTGTTCAACACACTGTATAATTGATTCAATTATCCATGTGGGCATTAGTCACTTTTAATTTGCAATCTGGCTTCTTTCAGTTAAAATGTTTTTTGGGTTGCTCCAGGAATGCCAACTAATTTAAATAATAATTTAAGTAAAACATAATTAGGAAGGAAAATTAAATTCAATCTTTGGCCAACTCTTGAAGATTGTGCTTCTGAAATGTAACTCTGGTCTATCTATTGTCTTTTCATTTTCCAGGGCCTGTTTAGTATCACAGAATTTTATTGCTTTCCATAAATTACTGCGATAGTAATGTATGTAGCTTTTCTGCTTACTGCTTTCCAATCCAATTGTTATTACTGTCTGGAGAATGACGACAAAAAAGAGCACCTATCACAAAATTTCTTTATTTGAAAACATTTAATGCGTAAGAAACAATAAAAATAAAACCCCAAACCTCCAAACACAAGACCCCAGCATTTATTTAATGACTACCCATTTCTTTCTAGATTAGGTGCACATGCCAAAACCTGCTGTCATTTAAGCGTCTTGTAGCCTTAGTTCCCAATTGTTCAAACTCTATGCAAGCTAACCTTCTACTCCCCAGCCTTTGTTTCCTTGCCTAGAATACCTCCTCCTCTCCCTGGCCTTCTGTCCAAGGTTTCCTAGTCCTACTGCTTGCAACCCCCTCTTGCATCCTTTCAATGCCTCCAGGTTTTCTTCAAGGCCCACTCAGGTATTTGTGGTCATGTGTCCTCACTCCTGTGACGCTCCTGTGAGATAATAGGGGTCTCTGTGGTGATTCATCCTCTCTATCTTGCTCAACAACTAAGCAAGCCCCTGAGGGCCAGAGTTACCAGCCAAGTGCAGTGCTTCGCTCATAGTGGGCGCTCAGGGACGCCCTCACTGGAGCTACCTTCCTGGTAAAGAACTTACTGGCATTCCTCACTGCGAGACTCCTCGCTGGAGGAGCTCACTGGAGGGGCCCTCAATGGAAGAGATCTCACTGGAGCAGACAGCACGGAGCCGCACACCCCGACCCGCGCCGCCGTTGGAGCTCTGTAGGTGCTTCGGGAGAGGTGCAGCCGCCGAGGAGCTGAGGGAACTGCGTCCAGCTTCCCGAGGGCAGCTGCCCCGGCGCTGGTTGCAGCCCGTCCCACCGAAAGAGCAAACTGAACTGCTGTGCATTCTCTACACTTGGGGGTACATACATGTGACAGCCGTGTTATGTCTACACATACATACACTAAAGACTGACAGACGCAGACACCTAGTCAGGTATGCAGGTATGTAAATAAATATAAACGCCCAGTCTTGACTCTGACTCGGCCCCGGGGCTCCAAGGATCCACCTTCCGGGCCGTTGGGCTAAGTTGCGCTGGCTTCCCGGGGCCTCCCGCCGCAGCGCAAGCGCAGGACCGCGGCGCGGTATGGCCCTCCCGGCTTTCCGTCCGCAGGACGTCATTGGTTGCGCCCCGCGCAGCTGACAGGCTGTGGCTGGCGAGGGCGTTTTGAGGATGGCGGCGTCCGCGGTGCTGATCTTGCCCAACAGCCCCAGGTAACCTGGCCGATCACTTGCTGTGGCTGAGCCACTGTGGCACGCACAGGGCCTATGCAACGATGGTCTTGCTGCCTGTAGCCTTTGCGCTGCCCAGATCTGGGCTGGGTCGGGGTGGGCTTGGGCGGGGTCGCTGGCGGCCCGGGGTCGGAGCGGAGCGCGGGACCCTGTGGCGCCTGTGTCTCCTCCCAGCGCGCTGACCCTCTGTGAGTCGCTGGGGGCCCGGCAGTCTTTGGCCCGGGGAGGCGTGGCTTCTGTCACTTCGTAGCGCGGTGTCTGAAGTTCTCGGTTCTGAGTTCTGCGCACTTCCATTGAGCGGTGTCCTGTCTCTGCTTCGGTCTTTCCAGACCCTGTGCTACTGAGAAAGGCTTCCTCGGAGGGTGCAGGAGGGTGTTTAGTACGCGTTAGACAGTATCGGACAGGCCTCTGGCCAGTTCTCTGTTGGCAAGTGTCTAGCCATACTTTGGCTATATTACTTTGGTTTCCATTTTATTTATGTTTTAGTTAATTTCTCTGGAGCAAGGTAGGGTCACCTGTCCTTGGTGGTGAAATGAGGCCTCCTTTTTGTTTTGAAATGAGACCTCTCTACCTGGAGTATTTTTCCAGGTCGATCTCGAACTTGTGGGCTCGAGATCCTTACTCATCAACCTCCCCAGTAACTGGGAAATGAGACACCTGCCACGACATCCACCGTAAAGTCGCCTTTTAAAATAAAATTACTTAAATAAAAATGACTCAATTTAACGAGTATAATGAAGCAATTAGTGCAGGTGGTGGGTGGATGCAAGGATACCGAAGTATATAGACAGATAACTGAAGTTGGAGAAAAACATTGTGCCTGAATTGGGTAGAAATTGATATTTTAAAGTTTTTCTTTTATCCTTGATTCCTTTATCCTCATAGCCAGGCCTTTTCTCCCAAACAGGTGTAGTGGGGGAACGTGGTTTCCATCAGTAAATCTTATCCAGTAGGGTGCAGAATTGTTCCTATCACAATTTTTGAAGTTGATTATTACAGGTGAAACAGATTTAAAACCATTGTGTGTGTAGCAACTTAACATGATTTTGTTTGCAGTGTTTTCCTGCTATTATTTGCATGCAAGAGACATGCAGTGTCTCTTGTTTTTAGTGTAGTTGCCCAGGTTGCCACTTCCCTTTTCTCACTCTTTTCAGTTTCCTCTTGGATTAAGTGGTTACATGAGGACTTACTGTTAAATTATTGCCATACCTCGACAAACTATATGTTTCTCCTAAAAAGTTTCCTTGTCCCAAAACAAGAGGAAATTTACTGAGTGGATCTCTTCAACCGAATGATTTTGGAAAGACATGTTTTTGGAAATGTTCAGATAGCCTGATTCTTTGATGGTCGCTGTCATATTTTACTCAGACTAACCATGTAGCAATCAAAATTATTGAATTTGTAGACAACTAGGGCAAGTCCATTTTAAAACGTTTTAAAATTTGTTTTACAAATTTATTTAGCATGAAAAAAGCAGTGTTGCTGATAAACGCGCTAGATACAGGAAGATTTCCAAGGTTGCTTACCCGAATTCTTCAAAAACTTCACCTGAAGGTTTGTATTTTTGTATTTTTATAGCTTATTAAACTTCTTTCTGATTCTACTGAGATTCTGTTGTTATTTGAAGAGTGTTTTTGTATGTATGTGAAATACAATGTTCTCAGGAACACTGGTTCTGAGGAAGATTTGATAATATTCCGTGGTCATCCATTTGGGAAATTCAGTATTCAATAAAATTATGGAAATTTGCGGAGTATTTTATATATTAGTGTTGTGATAAATATTTAATAGTGTATACAGTGTATAACATTTTAAAAATGTATTTGACCTGGAACTGTTACTATGGTATATATTTTGGGGCTAATATATTCTGGAATATGCTTTGGAAAAATTCTGATTTCATTTTTCCTCTTAAAAATATTTCTGTAGTACCTGCTGTCTTATTTACTTTTGTCTCTCTTCTACTTTTATTTAGAGGGTGTGATTATTTTAGACACACATTTATTTGTTCATTCTACTTGGTCATCAGTCTTAATTTCTTTTTCAGCTCGTAAGGATTTAATTCAATCAAATACATGTTTAAGGAGCAGCCATTAACGTATCTGCCTGCTGTCAGGCATCAGCATTCAGTGAAAAGGAGACTTAGTCTTCTGTTTCTTGGCTGGAAAGCAGCCACCGGGCCTTGCTCTACTTCCTCTCAAATCTCAGTTTTCATAGTCTAGTTCAGGTCCTTTCCCTTGTCTAAGAGCACTTGCTTTCAAGCCTATATCTGTGCCTGTAGCCTCCTTTCTATTGCTTTTTCATAGTACAATTCCACTACTCTTTCTAAATGTTATTCTCTTAAAAAAAGATGGATCATGATTTTATATGTTCAGAGTGATTATCCACTGTTGCGGGGTTGAAAGTTCCAACTCCTTGACACCTTCTACTGTATTTAGTCCATGTGAACATGGTCGCAGCCTTCCTTTTCCCACTTTGCAAGTGTTCCAGTCACACTGAGCAGTACTTTTCTCTTTACTGTACCGTGAACTTTTTCAGCTATGTGTCTGTGGTATCATTCTTTGGTATCATTCTAACTGTTCTTCCTCCCTTCTTCTGAGAAAACTTTCAATGATTTTGTGGGCTCACTCAGCATTTTTTTTTCCTATTCTTCTAAGTCTCTGGCTCATTCTTACCTTTCAGACTTTGTCATAAGTATTTGTTTCATGACTAGAAAATAACTAAATGCATAAATCTTTTTGGTCTACCTGCTTATGCCCTTAAATATCTTTACTTTTATTTTTTTGTGCTGGGAATTGAACTCACCACCTCATGCTTGCCAGGAAGGCACTTATGTCGTTGAGCTAAGTCCCCGTGTGCCCTTAAAACCCTGAGGGGCAGGTCTTACTAATCTTTATACTCATATCCAGTGCATTCTTTCTTACACCGTTGGCATTCAATATAAATTCCTGAAATTCTTTTCTTTGCCATAGGAAACAAAATGGATACAGGTCCTCTCAGCACTTGCCTATAATGTATTTGTATTTAGATGGAGAAACAGGAAGAACAGGATAAGAGCCATGTTCTACTGCATTTACTATTCATAAACAGTTATACCATTTTCTATGTGATTGGCACTGTTTTAATGGCTTTGTATTATTAACTCATCTAATCTTTAGAGCAATGTGGAGAAGTGGGTATTGTTGTCATCCTTATCTTAATCTCTAAGCAAACAGAGAGAATCCAGTTAAGAAATATGCCCAAAGTCACCCAGGTAGCTGACAGTTTTGTCTGGCTCCAGAGTCTATCCCTTTAACTTATTTCACTAAACACAGGAAAGAGAAGGAAATCAACCCAAAAGTGAATGGTGCAGGCAGTAAATATAGTTCTTTTTATTTTGTGAGATGGAGGCTTTCTTCTTACACATATAAAATAATATGGGACAAGAAACTTATGTGTATCTTTGTTCTTAGTATTGGGAAGGATGGAGCATTTGCAGGAAAAATGGTGATGTTTGGTTTGCCTTTGATCCTTTGGTCACCTTTGAAGTTGACAATAAGTGAATAGCTGTCTTTGAGTGAACTGAGTAACAGGGACACTCCACAGAGGCACTGAACGCTGTGTCATCAGAGCTAGAGGGAAGTAGATGAGAACGTGAGATCTGAAGTAGCTGAGGATAGAAACATGAATGTAAATATTTGTCTGCCAAGAAAACATCAGGAAAGGTGTAAAAATTTTTTCTTGTATGGTTTCAATTGATGGTCTTCCAGAAGGGCTCCACTTGTGATAAGGATTCTTAAAGTTTGTGGCAAATGTTAGGGTCTTCCACCTTATTTTTATGTATTTTAGATATGGAAACTTGGCTTTTACCTTGAGGTAAGTAGAGCCCTTAGAACAGTGGAACCAGAGGCAGGTAGATGGTGAAGAGGTTTAGGGATTTTGTTGCCACTCTAAATGTGGTCAGCTTGGTAATTTTCTTTTACTAAATTTTACCTGGTTATAGGTAGAAAATGTCTGTTTTGTCCAGACTGGTTCCTTGGAATCCCTACTAGATAGCAACCTAAAAAACAAAAGAAACCTGAGGCAGCTTAGGTATAGAATATGGGCATGTCTGACACAGCTCTGGAAGCCCTGGCTATCTCCCTGGCTCATCCTTGCACATACAAATGGGTTTTTATTTTGTGAATTTTTTTTTTTTTGGTGGGGGCAGTGTCATAATGTGTAAAGGCTGGCATTTGTGTACTAGAATTTTAAGTATCTTTAATGTCTTATCAGAGTGCTGGCTGTCCATATTCAGGAACACTGAAAGATGTTGGATGTCCTTCTATTGTTGATAACTTAGAAATAAATATTTGTGGCCTCTGAGCTTTCAAGTTGGTGCTGTAACTCATGTGATTAAGAAGCAAAACAAAAGAAAACAAAAATACTTCAGTATTTCACTTTGAAGAAGAGATTTTAAGCCATTATGGAAATGGCTTAAAATGATGTAACTATGATCCGTATCTAGTTCTAACAAGTCAGCCGTGAAACAGTAAGCTGAGAAACAAAGATGGTACTACACTGGGATGAATGAGCACCTTTAAGATATGATGCTGAGCATGAGATGAAATGAAATAGAAGAACTATGAAAAATCAAACACAAAAATGTCAAAGCACGGAAGTCTGAGGCTTTTTAAACTGAAATGAAAATCATCTTGTTCTCAGCATTTCTTTGAGAGACTTTAGCACAGAATGCCAGTGCTTATAATTATGAACTGAGTCATCACAAGAAGTTAGTATACCCAACTTATTATTTTTAGAAGTGTCTAGAAGTACGAATCATACTTTTAAAAATTTATAAGCCCATCAGTTTCCTTTCACCACAAATTCACTTTGAGTTCTCATCACATGTATGAATAAATGAATCTTCTTTTTATTTTAAGGCCAGCAGTGTATCATATGCTAATAGATTGTTATTTGTTCATAGGCTGAGAGCAGTTTCAATGAAGATGAAGAGGAAAAACTTCAAGCTGCATTTTCACTAGAGAAGCAAGAGCTTCACCTAGTTCTTGAAACAATATCATTTATTTTAGAACAGGTACTTTTATTGTGTCAAATTTCCTATGGTTTGTTTACTGCGTATTTGTATTGCTGTGTTATCTATGAAATTCCAATTTTTTAAAAAATGTATGCAAGATGAAAGCTGTGAATAAATTTTAATCAAGAATTTTTTGAGTTTTATTCTATAAAAAATGTTGAGTTGTATTAATAAAGATTTGACAGTAAATTGAAACTATTGATTTGAGACAGCTATGAAAGATTTGAATTCATTGTTACTTGGCATAATAATTTGGAAAAATGAAGGCATTAAAAAAGTTTAACAGATGATTTGGGGTATATTTGACTAGAATGATAAATACTTTTAGAAAAGTATGTGGTAATATTGTTTCCTATTAGCTTCTCTTCTACTTCATTCTTCTGGATCCTCCCTTGAGTTCATGGTTTTAATACATGTTCAGTCATCTTTCTTTTTGCTTCAGCCCTGACCCTTGCATGTGTATTCTTCCCTTATTTGGATTTCTTTTATCCTTGGCTCATCACAGTAGAGCATATTGTCAGTCTTTCATTATTGCATGTGTGAGTTATGTTACCTTCACAGGATTTTGAATATATTTGGGGCCAGCGTCACATTTTATGTACATTGTATTTAAGCCTAGCACATTGTTAGGCTTAAAATAGTGATGAATAAATTTCTGTTGGTTGACTAGAATAGTTGTCAGATAAAAGATTAGGTAGTACTGTGGCTTTGTGCGTATTCCAGTAAATGGATACTCCTGGAAGATAAGCTGCCAAGCCTTTACAACCGTCTATAGACTGTAGATCCTAAAGATGATTGTACATCTTACTCTTAGTGAGCCTTCAGTAAAAGTGAGGGATAATTTAATAAGACAGCATAGCATACTGCTTATGAGACAATTGTTGCAGAATATTATAAGAAACAGAATAGATACTGCTGTGAAACATTTGTGACAATTTTTAAAAAATTATTCATTACCTAGGAAGCTGGTAGATGAGGATAGTTTTGAGAACTGCTTCTTTGAAAAAAAAATTGTTGAGAAAGAAAACCATGTAAGTGTCAAATAATTAGTGAAATAAATGAAATGAAATTTTTAATTAGGGTACCGCTTGGATAGTCAGAGCAAAGAAGAAGGTGTTTTGGTGATTTAGTGAATTTAGGATTTTTTTAAATCACAGGCAAAAATGAAATGATTTAGGCCTTTTAATCCTGAATTATTTAGCCTTGCTTGTGTATTTTATTATTTGTAATATACACAACCAAAAATGTCTGATTATGATACGAATGGGAAGTATTCTTTTGGTTTAAAAAACTTAAAAGTAATTTTACAATGATTGAAGTCAAGGTCTCTGTATAAACATAAAGAGTAAATGTAACTTTTTTCTGTTTAATAGGCAGTGTATCACAATGTGAAGCCAGCAGCTTTGCAGCAGCAATTAGAGAATATTCATCTTGAGCAAGACAAAGCAGAAGCGTTTGTCAATGTTTGGTCTTCAATGGGTCAAGAGACAGTTGAAAAATTCAGGCAGAGGGTTCTGGCTCCCCACAAGGTATAGGATATTCTAATCCAAATATATTTTTCAGTAATCTGCAGCAAAATTGTTGTATCTGGAGAGTTTGTTTTTGTTTCTTGTCTTTTTTATTTTGGAGACAGGGTCTTGCTGTGGGCTGTCATTATACTCATTATGTCATCCAGGCTGGCCTGGAACTTGTGGCAGTCCTCCTGCCTTAGCCTCTCGAGTGCTGGGACTATAGGCGTGTGCCACTAACCTGGCATATGTGAGAGGTTTAAAAGTGATATTATTTTGTTGAGAGGTGGAGTCAAATAAAATGTATACATAATATTCGTGTAAAATTTTCTCTGCATATAGCATTATTGCTGCCATGGTATGATTTAATTTTATCTGACAGTTTAAAATATGCCTTCATAATTTAAGAATGGGAATGTCTTTAAACAGTTACTATTCCTTTATCTGGGTCTCTGTGTGTAAGACTTACTTTAACTTTTACTATATCATATATTTATTTGTTTTTGTGTATTTACATTAGTGCTTAGCAGACACTCAGCAAATAGTAAATATTTGTTAACTTCAGTAGTAAATAAAATGAATAGTGGAAAAAATAGAAAATAATCATGGTATCACAAAGCTCCTTTACCATAGCAACCTTCAGTTCACTTCTTAATAGAGCTTGAGATGTTCATACAATTTTTGTCATTTTTCTATTAATATGTGGTATTACATTAACTGTCAGATGTTTAGTCAACTTTATATTCCTGAGAGAAATCTGATGTCATTGTTTATAATCCTTTTTATATCTTGCTGGATATGATTTGCTGATATTTGATTGAGAGTTTTTCCATCTGTGTTTTTGAAGGATATTGATCTGTAGTCCTCTTACGATATCTTTGGCTTTCATATTAGGGCAATACTGGCCTCAGAAAATGAATTGAGAAGTCTTTCCCTCTCTATTTTCTGAAGAATTTGTGAAGGATCAGTATTTTGCATTTCATCAACAATATACAAGAGTTTCAGTAATTCCAAATTATTGTCAGTACAGAAGTTAATATTGTCAGTGGTTTTTATTAAAGTCATTTCATTAGGTTTGAGATGATGTCATGTTAATTTGCATTTCCCTAACATAGCAACACTCTTTATGTGCCTACTTGTCATATGTGTATCTTCTGTGGTGGCCTGCCTGTTAGACTTTTTGCCTAAATATATTCCCACATTGTGACAAAGAAGTCTCTTTATATTAATATAAAGAACACTTACAGATATAATTCATAGCCTATAGAAATACATGGGTATTTGTTCTTGTTACAATCTATAGAAGGTATTTATTTTTTCTTGAATTGGTGAGTTCTTTGGGAATTCTACATATGAAGCTTTTGTCAGAAGTGTGACTTGACAATATTTTTGTCTACTTACACTCCAATTCTTTTAATAGTGTTTTTCACAGGGCAAACCGTTTTAATTCTGATAAGGTTTAATGTATTGATTTTTTTCTTGACCCTAATTTTGGTTTTGTATATAGCCTCATCCAGTATTATAAAGATTTTTCTTTTTTGTTTCCCTTTAAGTGTTCCATATATTTATATTTTACTTTTAGATTTAGGTCTAAGCTCCATCTTGAGTGGTGTTGTTTAAAGGTAAGGTCACAAGTCATCTCAGACATGGTTGCCCTTTGTTTCATGATTAATCATGGATAACATTTTCCTTTTGTAAGTGAATTTCCTTGTCCCCTTGTCACAGATTTTTAACATGTTTGTGTGAGTCTTTCTGGATTCTCTTTGATTCCACTGATCATTTTTGCACCTTATGACAGCATTCTAACTGTTGAGGGCTTCAGGTGCCCGTGGACTACAGGTTGGATATGCCTGATGTAGACTGCAGCAGTGAAATTTACTGTGTCGGGCATTATGCAGAGTGATTGATATGGATTTGTGTCTATGTATGTGTGTTTTATATCTTTTAAGAGTAAGGAAATAAAACTTTACAGAGTAACTTCACCATGGTATTGCAGTAGATCCACATGAAGTGTAACACAGTTTTTGTCATAAAGTCCTGTAACATGGGTGTGTCCAAGCCACATTTATTCTTTAGACAATTTCTATTGATGAACTATTAATTTTATGAGTTTTATTATATTAAACAATGAGTGCTTAACAGGAAAAAAATCACAAATGTATTGCATTTTTAATATTTATTGTGTATAAAAAAGTATCAGAATTTCAACATTGACTGATTTTTGGTATTCAAAGTCTAAAAAAGACTAACGAAAATAAATTCCTATTGAATTACAATGAAAATACCAGTAGCACTTTACAAAAAAAAGTCTTTACTTAAGTTATCACATCTAAGACAACCTTTACACATGGCAATAGCACATTGCCTACACACATATCACTTACTCGGACAGCACATGTGTTTTGCTTTCCTTTTTGAAGAACATACTTAACGTCTTGCTAGTCTTGCTGTTTAGCCAGGAGGTTCTTATTGTATTATGTAATATGTAGTGAACAGGAGCATAAAAATCAGTACAGAAAGATTTCGTTCTTAATATGTATGTGCGTTTAGCATAAACATCATCATTTCCACATCAGCTGTGTACTTGCTTGCAAAACCTAAGAGAGAACATCAGACACAAGTTCTTCTGTGAACTACAGTGTAATCACAAACAAAAGTCTACTACAGAAATAATCTCTGTTTCAGCTGTCATACCCATAGCAGTCTTCACATATGATACCTCCATGTTCCATATACACAAATCGCTTACACTGACAGCATACATGCTTAGCTTTCCTTTCTGTGGGCAGGCCATTCTTGTCAGCTTTCTTCCTTCTTTGTCAGGTATTTCCTACTATGTTGTATAGCATACATTTAGTAAGAAACTAAGATATCAGTAAAATAAAATACCAATTGTGTAATGAGTACGTAGAACGGACATTAACATTCTCTTATCAGCTGTGTACTTGCTTACAAAACCCAAGAGTTAATATCAGAAATAAAAACTCCTATGAACTACAAAATAAACACAAACAAAAGTCTACCACAAATATAGTCTTCACTTTAACTGTCGGGGCTGGGGTTTTAGCTCAGCAGCATAAACGCCTGCCTTGCAAGCAGGCAGTCCTGAGTTTGATCCCCGGTACCGATAAAAAGGAAAAAGACAAAAAACAAAACAAAGCAAAACAAAACACAGCACACCACTTTAACTGTCACACTCAAGGCAGTCTTCATACATGACAACTTCATGTTCCACACACACATATCACTTACACTGAGGCCACATGTGCCTAGCTTTCCTTTCCTATATGGCAGGCCATTCTTTTCACTACTGTTCTTGTTTTGTCCAGAGCGTCCTACTGTATTGTACAATGTGTATTCAGTAGGGAAATAAGATAGTAAAATAAATAGCAAATGTGTAATGAGTACTTAGAATAAATGCCAGCCTTTTCACATCAACTATTCACTTGCTTACAAAGCATAAGAGGTAGCTTAAAAAAAAATCTGTGTCAACTACAATGAAAATAACTATAGAACTCTACAACAAAATAATCATTGCTTCAACTGTCACATCCAAGGCAGTCTTCACACTTGACAACTTTATGTTCCATACTTAAGCATTGCTTACACTATAGCACATGTGTTTTCTTTTCCTGTTGTTGTAGTACATCTTTGGGTTGCTGTTCCTGTTTGCTATTCACTTGTGAGCTTGCCAGTGTGATCCGTAATTTTTTTGTGTAGTTCCCAGGGCAGAAACATTTGATTTTTCCTCTGCTGTAAGTGATCTCTTATGACTTCCAGTCTCAGTGCTCTAAGAAAATTTTGCATTTGTTATTTTCTTTGTAAAGTGTCAAACTATTTATGCCACACATGTTTAGGATTAAGTAAAACACCGTCCTTAGCCTTGCTTTGTGTTTTGAGTGACATCATAGTTGCTACAGAAATCAACAACAACTACTCTGCCTTTGGTCTTGTAGAAAGTTTCTATCTTAGTTTTCCATTTTGTCAAGGTTTCCCTATTAATATTTCTGTTGTGGTGCAATGTTGATATCAGCAGTACCAGTTTGGTTTTCCTTGCCAAGTATGAGGCCATTGTAAATCTTTCTGAAATCCAAAGATTGTACTATACAATTCTGCTTTGAAATTGCAACATTTCATTTGGAATTTCTGCTTTCTTCCTGTGTACAGTTTTTTTTTTTTTTTTTTTGTGGTACCAAGGATCAAACTCATGACCTTACACTTGCCAGGCAGGTGCTTTTGCCACTGAGCTAAATCCATGGCCCTGTGTACAGTTCTTGTGCTGGTCAACTTGTGTTCTGTTAGCAAGTGTAATATCAATTGGAAACTATTAATCCAGTTGTTAAATAGAGCTGGGAGCAAAAAGTCTGTTCAAAACATCACAACAATTTATTACTATATGAGTAAGGACTTGATTGGCTGAATTTCAGGATAAATTCTAAACTGAAAGCATAATATGTCTTTGGATTTACAAGGGCATACATTTTTATGCCATATTTTGACCCATCGCTTTTCCATAGTCTTTGTCTATGGAAGTAGTCCTGTGATTACTGTGAAAAATTCCTGCCTAAGTACAGCAGCTGTGAATGCTTTCAGTTCAGCCAGTGGGGTGTATGGTTTTGAATATGGCTCTTGGTGTATACAGAGCATTTTACTTGTGTCTAAGCATTTGTGTATTTTACATCATCTTGTAGCATTTCGTCTGTTATAATTTCTAGTATTGAATGGCAGTAATACTTGATAAAGTAATAAGTTAAGTGTTAGGTCTTTCCTGTAATTCCAGCATTCTGAGAGTCCTAGGTAGGAGGATTACAAGTTTGAGTCCAATCTGAGCACCTTGTCAACAAAATGCTGTTTCAAAAAAAAAAAGAAAAAAAAGGCTGGAGATGTAGGTTAGTGGTACAGCATTCCTGAGTTTGATACTCCCAGGTCTGCCAAAAAATTTTAAAGATGTTTTATTAATGCAGTTTTTAAAAACAAACTTTTAAAAAAGATATTTAAAAGCTATCCAATTGGCAAATATC